TCTGTGTTCTGTCATCTTGCAGGAATCTCAAGAAATGGTTTCAAGTACATTTGCTCAACTGAATTTCTGGCGGTTTTGTCCCGTATATGTAGCAATTTTTTTAAAATTAGGATGGGCTTTGTGATGTGACTGCTTGCGATTCGTTTCACTCAAACACGTAGGCCCAACCTATCTAGTGTACTGTGCACACGGGGCCATCACTATGCCAACGCATATTTATCTTGATCTGAGTTGACTTCAAGCACACTCGCACACTTACGAACCCGGGTATCGCAGAGAAAATATAAAACCATGTTTATTGATATCAAGAGGCGTTCCTGATCCACATGCCATGAACCCAATTGAAGATTGATCCAGAACGCTGATTCTTCAAAGAGATTTCCTAGAACTGACAGCTGATGCGATCCAAATGTGGACCTACCCCTCTCCCTTCGAGAGATGTTTCGATGGCCGGTTCGTTCGGAGAGCGTCATTTGTGACTCCGATCGTGTGTTTGTAGATAACAGTCGGGCATATGTTGCTTCGCGCTTGTCCGATTCAGACATGCCTTGAGATTCTGCAGCGCGATAATTTATCACTACTGGCGAGAGAAAACTTTGTTGATAGATAGGAGGCTTGAAATATGTCCTCATTACAGAACGAATTTATTTTAGTCATCAGATATCGGGTTTCGGCAGACTTCTCAGCGAGGCAACAAAAACAAGATGATGTTAAATCAACTCGTACGGACAAAAGATTTATTACTACACCTCATTCTCACGAGACAAGATATTCCGACAAGATAAAACAACTATCCTTGTTTGTATATGTTTTATGTTAATTCTCTGTCAAAATCCCAGACAGGTTTATCGTACCTATATCAATGTATAAAAAATTGCGAAAAAGCGATTGCTTGGTCACTGTCAAACGGTTTGCTGAATTTTCGTTTACACACCCACCGAAAGTATCACGATATTATCCCATGATTCTTGGACGAACAGACCAGAGGGATTTTTGCAGAAAACTTTTAATCGCGTCTTACGTATTTGTCACGCTCCTCCCTCTGATCTTGTTTCTTCTGATGTAGTTGGCAATCTATTGACCAGTGGAACATAAGGTTGACGGAAACTCGGGGACTGCGCCTACTTAGTGTGCCCCAAGGAGGGCAAAACTGGTCATGGGCTGTGGCAAAGTTTACAGCAATTTTGTGAGAGTTTCTTTCCATGAAAATATACTGCAATATCTCGAATATGGTACCAACTGAAACATGAGGCAGCCTTTGTGCAGCACATTCAGTTGTAGAATATCTCAAACGAGGTGTTCAGTTGAGTCTCTCATGAAAACCAAATTAATTTGCAAATGAGTGTACTTCTCGAAAACAGTCCAATTTAGGTTCCAGTAAAACATAAGGTTGACGGAAACTTGGGAACTACCTAATGAGCCCCAAGGAGGGCGAAATCGGTCGTTGGCTGTCGAAGAGTTTTCAGCAACCTTGTGAGTAGTTTCCTTTATGGAGCTAATAGACAAGCTATTGTTTCAGTAAGTTGTGAGCGTTGGCCTTGTTCCAACTAGCCTACTTTACGCGTGGTTACAAGTGTCTGATGACAGGGAAGAGATCGCTTAGTGGTTAGAGAACAGATTTATTGGCCGAAAGGTCCGTGGTTTCAACCCAACCTCTGCCACTCGACTTCCCCTGTCTAGACTTGGGCAACTTGGCAGTATCTCAGCCCTCGTGCTTCCTTCGGCTGGCATGGAAGCTAGGCATCGAAAGGGTGTCACAGTTGAACGCTTTCAATTTTTTTCGTTTTGTCTGGTGATAATTACTGGAGTTTTACCTAAGGCTGCTATCTGAAGTCTTGAATTTTAAATTGCCAATTTACTTACCTTTCTTACCAGTTGTGTTCCGGTAGGATGAATGTGTAAAGTTCATTTCTTCTGTTTCCTGAGAGAACAAAGTACACAGTATCTCAGACTTTAGGGTATTTTACTCACCAGACGCCCAGACGTTAGTTGAGATCGCTTCTTCCGTCGGGGGAATCTTGCATGTTTCAAATCAGCTGATCACAAAAATGATTGATCCTGATTGGGTCGATATGCCTAAGTGAACTGACATGTAGCCGAAGATATCTTTAAAAATATCATAATGAAGATGAATTAAACATACATCGTAACTAACAACCAGTCAGTATCCTGTCGGACATGGTAAGGATGAAAAAACTTCCCTACCTCTGCATTTCAAAGGTTTCATTTATCCACATGCGTCAAAAAACACAAATCGCAAGTTGGCACCAACCTATGAGATAAAACCGGCTAGATCCGTTCGAGATGTACACCATGTTTTGTCAGTACTATCTCTTTCTGCCCAAAGTTTGTGATAGGTGACATAAGTGATTGGAAACCAGGTAAGGGAATGTTTGAAAAAAAAACACAAGATGGCGCTTAGAATAAATCCTCAAAAACTGCAGAGCAGACGTGACTTTTTAGAGTCGACAACTTTGCTGGATGAAGGACCAGTGAACAACCTAACATCCTGTTAATTTATGCTGATAAGCCAGAAAAAAATTGAAAAAAAACGTGAACAGAAGTTCCTGCATCTGAATGTGATCAACAGATAAGGTTGATAAGGTCTGATCGGCAAATGCTTATCTTTCGTATAACAGATGGGGAGCACAAATATTTGTTTCCCACCATAAAACTCGTCAAATCGATTCGGTACTTAAAGGGAGTATTTTCGCAACAAGATGCCAGGAAGGATGAATTCTGTTTAGATGAACTCTCTTTTACATGAAGAATATAACAGGAATGAATATCGTTTGATACCTTGCAACTAGTTCGGTTGTTACTTCCCGTTAATTAGTAGTACAACTAAACTCGATAGCATCATGATCGTGGACTGTCAAGAAAAAATGGACAATATACTGGATTGGTGATAAACCGAAAAGAGAACACCGTTTTAGTGAAATACACTGATTTGCAAACTAATTTGGTTTTGCGAGAGACCCACCTGGAACCCAGCGATGTTTCCAGGCGACTGAATGTGCTGCACCAGGCCTGGAAACATCAGAAACCAGAGATCCAGCTGGGTTTCATATGAGTCCCTCGCAAAACCGAATTAATTTGCAGATGAGTGTATTTTGCTAATTTCGTGCAATTTGGTTTCAAGTAGAACATAAGGTTGACGGAAACCCGGGGACTGAGCCTACCTGATGAGCCCAAAGTGGAAGGGCGAAACCGGTCGTGGGCTATCGAGGAGTTTTCAGCAACATCGTGAGTAGTGTACTACAAAGAAAACAGTATTGTTAAAGTGTGTTCAAACGTTATGAATTTTCTACGAATCGGAAGCTTGGCGCAATTTGTTTTCTGTCTTTTCAAAGTGAATTTTCAATCCCACTGGCGTTCAGTAATTTTGCGTGGGAATTGCCCCGAGTAGTCACTCAGAACCCTTCTATAATCGTTCTCAAATTCTGCTCGGATTTATCCGAGACTGATGAAACTGAGTTTAGATATATCAGGCGTTTTTGCTTCTTGAGGCAATCGGAAAAATACCTCCAAAAATTGATTCGACGTATTCTTGCTCAAATTTCGGGGTCCCACCCTCCCGAACGCATCTCAGTCCACCTAAAAATAGTCACGTGGATTATTGCGCATACATTTTTTTGACGTATTCAACCTTCCCTAAATGCACTACGTTCGCGGTTTTCGCGTACCCTCGCAGGTGATAGGACACAGCTATCAAACGCCTAGGGATTAAAGCTTGTAATGTAATTCAGGCGACTTGTATCAATCATTTTTCTAAACTGATTATAAAATGGGTCTCGTGACCGAGAGTAACAGTTACACTAGCTCATCCTGTCTTAGCGATGAATGATTGCAAGTAAACCGTCAAAGTAATTCGATTCATTAAACCCTGGACATCCGGCATTCACTTTCACGGGTCTCTTGGGTCACGTGACAGTGAGAAGTGAATATCCGGTCACGTGATGACCAGCTATCCCAAACGTTCTGTCAATGGACTGTTCAGTTGAGTTTCGAAATGAAAACTTCACTCAAAATGACATTCGGAATGTCCATTGTTCAGGTCTTGCTTCGTTCCACTAAGTAGAACACACGATTACACCGTTCGTAGCATTAGTGGGCAGTATTCTGTATCAGTTACGAAACAAACAACAAATCCACTCATAACTTGGTAAGCTGAAGTTGTGCGCAAAGCTATTCCACCCCGCACGTCAGTTGTCCCCCTACGAAGCTCGTTGTAAACCAGGTCTAACAACGCTAAGTTTTGAAAAAAAAGTTCAAATTTAAGACTCAGGTTGAAGAAACTTGAATTTAAAGTAAGTCTCTTATCGTCTCTAAGTGAAACATCACTCTGAATAAGAACGTGACATTGCACGTTGCTTTGTTGCATGTTGCACAAAATTTCTCTTAGAATACTTCAGTTGCTGAGAGATCAGTTGGTGTATTCCAGGGGGTACAATGCTCAGGTGTACCATTTGTCACTGTCTCAGGTTCTTGCATAGGCAACGAGTTTTGTTTACTGTCGCATCAGCTATGCGATGAGCAGTTAATGGCATTTCTGCGTGAGACATTTCCGCTCATTGACAACTTGCATACCCGAAACCTTACTTGGTATCCACATCAGCATACAAACCTGACCCCGTCGAAAACACCGGTCCCATCTAATGTCTCCCTAGAGACATGAAGTTGCTCAGCTTCCGTATCAACGTGCCAATTAAACTGTGGTCAATGAAATTGAAACTTTGAACATGTATCTCTTCATGATCGGTCATTACTGATGGTTGAGTCATCCTCCGAGTTATCCTGTATCTCGACAAGTATACTCATTTGCGTATCAACTAGGTTCTCAGGGAAGGGGACTCAAGTGAACTATCACATTAGACTTAGCATTGAGCTAGAGCCACATCGGGTGCACTACCCTTTCTTGACTGCATGACACAAAAGAGTGGTGGGAAATTAAAAATCACTGTATACCGGAAATCAAAAGATAGTGGTGCGGTCTTAGACTACTCGTCTGCACATCCAAAAGCAGTAGATGCTAGCATAGCTTCAGCGATGTTTAGGAAGGTGAGAGCACTGTGTACATAGGAGGTCGACTGAAGAGTAGCACAAATTCAGGTAAAAAAGCGACCTCAAGATAGCGGATACCCTAAGCGGCAACTTAGATGGGTATTGGTGCCAACAGCAAGGCTCAACAAGGAGTGGATAGGAACAGCGGTTATTCCATACAAAACAGGGATATTTGAAGTTATTAAAAGGGTACTGAATACGGCTAACATTAGAGTAGCTTTCCAGAAGGGCAAAACTTTACTCTCGGTGTTGGTGAATTTGAAGGATCACCTTCCGGTTGATAGGACCAGGCACTGTGTATACAAAATAAAATACAACGACTGTACGAAGGTTTATATAGGTCAGACAGCCAGGGAATTGCACACCAGAATCGGTGAGCGTTCTATTAGCAGACCACCGGAAACGCAGATTAATACCAGGCGTTGGTCAGAGATTCAGCAATGGCAGGGCATGCTCTAGACACTGGGCATAGGATAGATTTAGAAAATGTGGACATCCTGAGACGGGGTTCAAGATCCACACCACAGCGACTGGTGGCCGAGGCTGTGGAAATCGCCAAGCATTCCAGTGTAAATAGCAACCTTGTGAGTAGTTTCCTAAAAACCTATTATCAACTGGTGAAGAATGAGTCATTGGCAAACGGTTTGGAAACGACGCTGTTTGAGAAGGTACACCTTACCCGGAAAACCTCAGCTGTAAGCCACATTAAAGTAGCAAGGAAAGTGAACCACATATTGGAGGAACATCTTCTTTGTCTTCAAGGTGACATATTCATTTGGTTGGGACGCGTTTGGATCCCACATTTACTTCCCGTAGTTGGAGCGCGATGAACTTAAATGATGTTATTTCTGGAAATCTTTGACGTGTAGTTTGTCTCGCGGTTCACTTTCTTATAGGTTTAGAATCCCACAGTAAAGACAAAGCGCATATCCTAGTTTTTAAAACAGAAAGCTGAAGAGAGGCCTCGAATAGCGATTGACCGTCAGGCAGCTCAGGACGGAGCATATAAGTACGGACAATGCTGTACCTCAAGACAATCCGACAAATTACTGAACTCCGGCATCCCGAGGGCCTAGTATTCACCAATGACAAATTAATGTAACTCTATTAATGAAAGGTGACATCAGTTCACCAGAATTTATCTGGATTTAAAATAACCAAAGGTTCAGCATTTGGACGCGACAAACAAGTGCGTGACCTTAGACAAATACTGCCGTATCTGTCCATCAAGGTCGCAAATTAGTGCTTTCAAGAACCAGCCAACTAAACTAAGAGATGGTTGTATATCGATACCACAGGCCAAGTGCAAAGCCTATAATAATTTCTCCGTTGATTCACAAAGATATCAGCCTCAGAAAACATGCTGAATCCTACAGAACTCAGCAATGCCGTAGTTACGAGTCTCCAAATAAATACCATTATTTCAAGGTCGGTGATTTTCAAAAGCATCGATTTTTTAATCGATGAAAGAAGCATTGATTTGCGAATGGGAGGTGTGAGTGCTCAACCTCAACGAGCAGATCATCGAATGTATCCAGTGAGTTAGATATATCTGGCGTATCCACTTTGGAACAAAAAAGACTGCGCCCTCATCTCTGTCGTTGAAGATATCTGACAAGACGGGATGCAACCAGCAGACCTCCATAGGCTAAGGCTTCTACTAAACAGCCTACATAGAAACCTTAGTCATATCGATCGAACATTTTTGTTTTTAGTGTATTAACGAGAGTAAAGCGCGAAGTGTCAGAGACCTGGAGACGTGAGAATGGCGGTTCCAATATAACAAAGTCATGTCGGTGGTATTGTGAAGAGAATCGATAATATTCCATGAGTGTACGTTCTCACAGTGAACTCAGTGCATACTGAAAAGCCGAGGAGGACCGCGGAGCTGTTTTGCTTTTATTGGAAATCTGCAGTGTACAGCTCACGAAACTACAGTAGGGAGTTACGAGATCGGGACCATCTGGCTGGTCGTTCGGTCACGTGGCCGTTCGACCGCGAGCTGCAAATCAGCTGTGTGACTAGCTGAAACCGAGACAACACAGAGAGCCGCTCATGCTTGAACAATAAGGAAGGAATAGCAATCCATCCGGTGATTGAGAATTCCAGCTGAGGGGTCGTCGCGCAAAGAGCCGGTCGACACGCGTGACTTCATGCTGTGGAACCCGTAAGTGAGTAATGTTTTCTCCGTCTTGAGTGTGAGTTAATCACAATGCTGCTCAGTTACTCTCAGTCGAATAGTCAAATGGTTCAACCGAGCGGCCGAATGAAAACGGTCAATAACTAATCACTGGGTCTTCGTAAAATGTGCGTAGCTGATGATTCTCACTAGTAGAGAGAGATATCTGCGCAGCGCATTTCGCTTGCAGGACGAAATCTCCATTGAGAGGTTATACTACCTTCTAGGGGCCACACATGTAGACTTAAACGGACAGGTCACCGTTGAAGAACACGGTTTTTAATACTGATTACACTTTTTAGGTGTGAGAGGGAATGGTGAAAGAAACGTCCCAGTGTTATTACGCAAGGTTTTTGAATTTTCCTGTGTTTAATTCTGCCATCTTATTTCGACAGGTATCGATTCGGCCATTGCCCATAGGACAGTTTTGAGCTATTGGTGAAATACACTACTACTCATAAAGTTAGTGACAACTCACCGGCAGCCCATAACCAATTTCACCCATCGTGATTTTAAGAATTCGGGTTTGATCTATATTGGAGACTACTCTTCATGTTCTAGCTAAGAAGCTCGGGTTTCGCTCACTAAATAGATGACCGGCACTGCGTTTCCCTTATCGCGATGGTGTTTGAAACCGGAACGAGAATATTACTACAATCTCATCAACGTGCCGCTAAGTTAGTAAGTCTAAACAGAGGAGCATTCTCGTGTTTGAACGGGCGTTGAGTTGATTCCCCCTGGTTTCAAACACC